ATATCTATCCCTACAGTTGTACTGTCTTTAATGATGTTGATCGCGTCTTCGATGTATAGATTAAAAAGTAGCGGTGACAGTGTGCATCCCTGTCTGACTCCCTTTCTAATATTTACTTCTCTACGTTGCAGCCCCAGCTCTATAACTGCCTGTTGCTCTTTATACAAACTAAGTATCACTCTTCTATCTTTGTAATTCATCCCTACATTTAGAAGATATAGAAGAACATTAAAAAAGAACATAGATTCTCACGCTTAATTTTCAAAGAGGTTGTATCAAATCGTCCTGCATCATTCCACTAATAAAAAATGTGGACTTTCTAAATTTGACGTTAACTTTTCAGTATAAATGACCCTGGTGTAGATTTTGGTTTTGGTCAGAGTATTCTACACCCAGAGTCTCTTATATTTAGAACGCCACCGTATATCGTAAATCAAATTACATTACAAGATTTTTCGTCCAACAACCAAAAACCGTTTCCTTCCTCTAACATTAGAAGTTCGAGCAGCCCTACAAACTCTTTCCTAAAACAAAGAAAAAAGGAAGATATTGAAGCAGAAGGTTCATCGTCAGTTGATAGAAAAGTGAACAGGCGATTCTCATCTGTTTCCATAAGGTAAGTACATTTTTATCTTTTAGGCCAATGTCCAGGTATGACTTCGTTACAAAAGAAACTGACAGTAGTTACAAAAGAAACTGACAGTAGTTTTGAGGCACCTGAAATAGTGTCCTTAATAAAGAATAAAATCCATTGTGTGTGTACTATTTTGCAAAAATTATGTCTGTTAATGTTAATGTTTAATTAGCAGTTACTTCATCATCATAACGTCACCAATTCTAAGACTGATTAGACACGCACCTCCACTCCTTCCTATCCTGAGTTTCCCATATCCTTAACTATTTGTGAACAGTAATGTAGGTCTATCCTCTTCACTCCTGCTTCTGCTTTTAATATGTCTTTGACTAGCCCCTCATGCCTGAATACCAGCGTCCATAGAATTCTCTGTTCTCCTATTCTTTCTAATACTTCCTTATTTCTAACCTTCTCGTTTCACGGTATCCTCATCATTCACCGGTAACACCACATTTCGGACGCTTCTAACCATTTCTTTTCCGCCGCGCCGATTGTCTATATTTCGCACCCGTACAGAGTCGTGCTCCAATACTTTTCTAATTGTACATTAACCGTTCGCGAGCATAAAAGTGCCTTTTTTANCTACTTACATCCTTTATAAAGAATAAAATCCATTGTTTTGCAAAAATCATGTTTGTTAATGTTTAATTAGCAGTTACTTCATCATCATAAGGTCACCAATTCTAAGACTGGTTGGACATGCACCTCCACTGTTTCCTATCCTGAGCTTCCGACATCTTTAACTATTAGTGAACAGTAATCTAAACTAACTCGACCTCTACTCCTCTTAACTCCTGTTTCTACCTCTAATATGTCTTTGACTAGACCTTCATACCTGAAAAGGTGTCTTAACAATTTGTCTCGCCAGTTTTGATTGACTTCCATAGAATCCTCTGTTCTCCTGTTCTTTCTAGCACCTCCTCATTTCTAACCTTTTCTATCCACGGTACCCTCATCATTCGCCTGTAACACCACATTTCGAACGCTTCTAACCTTTTCTTTTCCGCCGCGTCCACCGTCCGTGTTTCGTATCCGTACAGAGTCGCGTTCCAAACATACCTTCATCAATCTTTTTCGAATTTCTAAATTAATCGTTCGCGAGCATAGAAGTGACTTCTTTTTATTGAAGGCCACTCGACCCTGTGCTATCCTCTGCTTTATATCCCTACTACTCCTTCCGTCCTTACTTATCTGACTCCCTAGATATCTAACTAAAATTATAACAAAAAGTAGGTACATACATCGAGTATTTTTTTAGAGTCGTGTTGTATTCGGTAATAGACTCATTCCAACCACCATGAGTATTGCCTTAGAAGAATCGCATTTTGTTTATTCTACGAAACCTGCTGTCTGCACACTAGATCGTTTTATGCATTTTGTCAAATGCAAAGCCGAAAATGTTAGGGTAATGTTAGCTCCAAGTCCGAAATATACAGGTAACGATTTTAAAAGCGCATTATTCAATCCATCTTTACCAGTTTTGTTTTTCCCTAAAAAAAGGTATGCTCGATGAACCACCCAGGTTTATGGGTGAAGGATTCGTGATGATGTCGTCGAATGATATGGAACTCTACTTTTACATGGACGAGCCAGGTAAATGCTCTTTAATTTCAGAAATCAAAAGAACGATTTTATAAGGACCTCATGATCAAGTGAAGTACCTAAGACTTGTGTTTTGTAGACCAAGTTCAGTAACTGCAAATATTGACCTTTTCCAAATGATTTCCTTTTTTTTTGTTAATGTTTTCGGGAAACCCTTTTTATTTAAATTTCATTAATGCATTCTTTTTGATGCTCCGAAATAATAAAACATGTAGGCATACAAACAAAGATTAAAATTACATTCTTTTTATCAAATTTACCTTGAAATTTATTTCCATAAAGAAGGAATCAAATTTTTGAGTTCTTTTTTAAAGCAAATATTTGAAAAAAAGCTAATAAAACTAATTATAGGCCTAGTCCCTGAGGAGCCTGTCCATGTTGTGTTAGCAAATGGAGATGTTGTCGAATCTAGTCCGCCCATGTGGGGGGTTGATATTAAATGTGGCAAAGGTATTCTTATTCTTACGACTTTAAGTATCTGGAAATAATTTTTGACTCATGATTTACTAATACGTTTCGAAGAATAAATTAATCGGATTTTTTATTTTCCTTTTTCGCTAAGTTCAATTTAATATTTTCAATTTCTAGGTACCGATTTCAGTTATGGTCCTTGGGCAGACCGTCAAAGGGAGCACTTGTACAAGTTTTTTTACCCTACGGACTATTTGCCCATGGAGATAACTAAAACGCCAAAACCTGGGGAAAAGCGCCAAATGCAATCTTTCGACATACGATTATCACTGCAAAATGAATCAACAATCGACATACTTTTCACTAAAAATAAGGAAACTAACGCGGTACATATTAACGTAGGAGCCGGTAGCTATTTAGAAATCACAATACCATGGGTTGTTCACCAAGATGGGTAATTATTATTAATGAAACTACAATTGGTAGGTACATATTGAAATTGCTTTTTTGCTCAAGTTTTACAACTAAAATAAATGGACAATTACTCCATCTTGAATCTACGACTAGCTTACAATTTAGAGACTTATTGTCAAGTGAAACTTTGGAATTTTGTGTATTATGTCATTACCCCCTCATTTGGAACGAACATCAGCTGTGGGAATTGAATTTAACCGGTTGTAAAGCATCACTAAGTTTGATATTTGCCCACAAATGGTTCTTTCAAGGTAGGAACAACATAAATCTTCTAGAAAGTGAATGAAAACTATTTTCTTTTCTATTTATGTATTAGATCTAGTAAATGACTGGGCATCAAAACAAAGACCCGATATTTTACATTTCCTTCCTTATACTTGGCGCTTGGGATTGACTTTAAAACATTGCGAATTGACAACATTAATTAATCAATACAATTGGATAGATTGTAGCAGTGTTGGTCAAAGGCAAAGGCTTGAGCATACTCAGTTAGCCCTTTGTGCTCATTTCTTACATCTATCGTTTGATCTTCCCTTTGACGAATTTTTACCTGAAACTGTGCCACTCAATTTCAGCATTCAAGTAAGTCAGTAAAAGCAAACATAATGGCGTCAAAACGTTTGGATATTGCATACTTTATAAATTTTGATTTAAACAAAATTAATAGTTTCCTAAGAACCGAGACTCTTTTATAATTTCCCTGTTTCGTCAAAAATGCATGCAATTGGATTGTTTTGATAACAGGCATATATGTTAACATACCACATTAAATTAAAACAATCACCATTTTGGTTCATATTTATCAATTTAATCAAGTACCTGTTTCATTTAATATGATATTCCAAACTTTTCGGCGATAGTATATCATATATTTGAACGATATCTTCTACATAGGGTGAAAGTATAGACTTGAGTCTTTTCATTCCTGAATTCCACACTAGTCGTAATGTTATGCTATCCTTACAAAAGAATGCTAAGGTCCTTTCGAAAGATGGATCCATGACTAAAAAGACTGAGATAATACCAAAATGGAGAAACATCTGTCATCAAAGGTAAATGTAGTTTGCTCTTGTATCAAAGTTAACAAAATATTGTTATATTAATTGTATTGGAAACAGCTCGGGATGGGTTGATTTTTGGTGGGTACCAATTGGGGCGATTAATATTTCATACGTGTATCATCCATGTCCACCTCTGGGTCCCATGCCCCAAGCTGACATTTCAACACCAGTAAAAGAAGAACTTTTGCTGTCTCCAATTCGGTTTCCTCACAATTTGAGAGTTCAAAGGCCATCGGGGGTAAAAGCATTTGATTCATTTGAAACTATCATAAAAAATAACAAACTTACTTCTTAAGGATGGCGCTCATCATTTCGATCCGACTATTTTAAAAGCAGATAAGGTAGGAGTGGAGCTTGAGATAGGCCCTTCGGTTTTCTTGCTTTACGGCACTGCCATAAGAAACTTTCTGAATTTCAAAGTGAGTAGTGATAACAGTTTTCTCTTTGAGATAGCATTTCAAAAATTGTGGGTATATTTGATTGAAAGGAAAACATATTTGGGGAAGATCAAATGTTCAAAGACATGCAGCGTAGCAACTCTCCTCCCGATGAAAAAGACGCTGAATCTGCTGACTTTGTTCCATTGGAACTGAGAGAAGATTTCGATCATCGTTATTACAGACCATTTGATGTTGACGTATCAATAATTATGCACGATGTACAAGCACATTTGCTAAAGGTATATTATATGATTAAAAATAGATAATGGTGTGATTTGTTAAATTTTCATTTTACTGGAATAGAATTGTACAGAAAATGATCCACCTTGTCCAGTAATTTTGATCGAACGTTTTGGATTTGAAATGAAAAAACGTTACGATCAAACAGAATTGCAATTATTGGTCAGTCCGTCAGTACTACTCGTTTCGGACAACATTAATCGTCCTTCAAGGGAAAAACAACTCAGTCAAGGAAAAGTCACTTTGTCTGCTTTACAGGTAGGTATTTTGAATTGAAAACATGCAGAAGCATAAACCACATTGGTTAACATATTTAGGTGAGAGGTCACGCCATGTTCTCGGACATAGGATGTCAATTGGATGAAGATACTATAGAGTACGCTTGGCTTCTTGAAGCACAAATGGGAAAACTAACTGGCAAATTAACTGCTCCTCAACTCTATTCCCTCATAGTAAGCATGGAAACGTTGATACTCCTGATCGATGATGATGAAAATGAGTTGAACTCACCGAAAAACATTTCTGCATTGAGTCAATGTCAGAATTCGACGAAACCCAAAGTCACTCCTCAGAACATATCTCAAAATGTCCAGCAAACTATTCAGCAGTTTTTACAGAATAAAGGAAGTGGAGTTGTATCGATAAACAAGTCTAATCCAGGTCATGGGGCATCCGCAACGGGAACAGCATCGATCAAAGGAGATTTCGCTGAAAGGATTAACAGAAGTATGAGGAAAAGTGATTCGGAAAAACTAAAGCGCAGTGAAAGTATTAATAAAGAAAAGAGTGCCGTGAAGGCCGGTGGCGGAGATAAAGTTGATAAGGAAGAAGAAGAGGTTCAGTATGATCCTCATAAGCTGAAGTACAAATTTTGTCGGCTGGCTGTCGACTCAGTAGATTTTTGGTTGGTAGAATGTGGAACTGCTTTGGAATTGTGGGTAAGTAAGTCAGAAACATTCAAAATATTAGAAAGAAATTAGAAAGAAATTCCTACATAAAAATTTTACTCAAAACCTGCTCTATCTAGAAAAGTACCTAAAAAGCAAAAAAACAATTTCGTGAACGTGTTGAGAAGTAATTTGATAAGATCGAACTTTGGATTCTGATAG